TGACAATTCGAGAGAACCTTGAGTTCTAGGCATGTTGTAGCACAAGATAATTAGTGAACACAAATTAGTTAGCATAAATCAGTTAAATGAGGAAAAATTAGGTGTCTATTTACTTGTGACCACTCAGTGTATATCGCAACTCTCTTTCCGTTTACCTTATATTATACCTCAATTTGAAATTTATTGCAGATTCAAAATTTAAAACGTGATACGAATTGACCAATGAATTCATAACTTTAAATCTTAACTACACCAGATACTTTGACAATTACACAGGACTTGTAAATCTAATACAAAACGTTAAGACTAACCGTATGCTGTAAGAACTAAGTTCAACGAAACTGCTGTTATGTTCAACTTATATTAAAGTTTTCTTCATTACCCATTCAAGCCGTCTCTAAGCATTATTAGTCTCAAAGTGGGTTCCTCGTCATCGAATTTGAACTTTAATGATAAATAATTACTTATTCATACAAATAACATGCGATTGATATAGCGATATTACAACACAATTAAAAGCAGTACAGAACAAAACACCCTTTAACAGAATATGACAGAAGTACACATAAAATACCCTTTAATACAGATTTACACCACAGAAAATCCGGTTTTTATAAAACAAACTACACGTATACCAAAAAAAAAGAAAAGGGAATATTAGAAACATTGTATAATATTTATTACACACACACACACACACACACATAGCCTAGCAAAATAGTTTTGGTCTAAACATATTGATCGTGAGAACGGTACACAAGTAGTATCACTGCATGTTATATCAAATGCTCAATGTGCCCGCAATCAGCAAATGATGTATGAAATGCTAGACAGCAGCAAGAAATACATATTTATTGACGTGTGTTATGTAATGTTAATATTATTTTTCTCGATAGTTAACTTGGGATAGATTTAATATTCTAATCAAAGAGTGACTGAATAGGCTTCGACATCATATTTGCACTTTTAACTGCAATTCTTAAAAATGTAATGTAATAACCACCTTTTGTTTCAAGTTCATCTTACAGCGTCATCTAAAGTTTTGTTTAAGTGTTCTGCATATATTTTTTATCACTTGTATCCAATGGCAAAGCTGTACGTTGTATGTTCCTGCCATTATCTACACATTTATACCACAGTTAATTTTGTGCTAGCATTGTATGTAATATCATTTATTGTTACCAGTGCTACGATTTAAAATTATATGATATATATTCATTTTCCCATCTGTTCAATGCTATAGTACTATGTAATATTTTAATCACATTTTCCAAACTACAGTTACATGCCCAATTACTCTCTAACATTTTAAAAGTTGTCACTATTTCTGCTCTTGTAAACCATAAGCCTACGTTCTGAATCACTAGCTTTTACTAGATTACCTTAGTTTTTCGCAGACAGATGCTAAATCTCATGCTTTCGCCATTTCAGTAATGGACAATTCTTTGAACTTTCCTTTTTGTACTTTGGATGTTTTAACATTGGAAAGATATTTATAAGCTCAGAAGTGTTTTTTTTTTCAAAATTGGGCCACAATATCTCCTATATAGTGGGCTGAAATTCCACTCCTTTCTACAAGACAGTATATCCATTCGTTTTCATTTCTTGGATGATTTTTCAACGAGGCAGATGAAATGATTGTTGATTTGATAGCGACTCATTAATTTATAGTAGTCAACATTTGCTAGGGATCACATTTTATTTTGAGTATATGTCCAGTCGATCAGTCTCTATAGCTATCCAAGCAGTGTACTGTTGCTAGAAGTAGGGCAAATAGGATTGTTGTTGTATCTACAGAAATATAGAATACAAGTCTAAAGAGGTTATACTTTCAATGTACATGTCACTGGTTAGGCCACATTTGGAATATTGTGTTCAATCTTGGGCTCCTAACCTTAGGAAAGACATTGAATTATTAGAAAGGGTTACTAAAATGGTGCCTGGGATGGAGGGGTTGTCATGTGAGGAGGGACTGAAATATTTCAAGTTGTTTTCTTTCGAAAAAAGAATAATTACGGGGATCTGACTGAGGTGGTTAAGATTTGTAAAGGGAATTGATGGTGTTGATGCATCATCTTTTTTTTTTCATACTTAATGGTAATAATAGTAGGACTAGGGAACACAGATAGGAGTCATATTGAGCTAAGACAGTTTCATTTTTCTAACAGGGTGGTTGGCCATTGAATTGGGTTACCTTCGGATGTTGTAGAGGCAATAAATTTAAGTTAGTTTAAGGAAAAGCTTGATAAGTATATGACTGATAAGGTCTGACTTTAAGATTTTTTTAATTATTTGTTTTGCTTCCTATTGTGCTGGGTGTTTTTACACCAAGATCCCTTTTTGTTAAGGTTATTCCCATCCAAATTGTAATATGATTCAAATTATGGTAACTGACATGCATTATTTTACATTTATTATAATTCAAACCCATATGTTATTTATTTATTTATGATCAAAATCCTTTTGTAAATCAGCAGCATCCTCTTCACAGCTAGCAACACCCAGAACCTTAATGTCATCTGCAAATTTAAGTAACTTAATGACTATTCCTTCATCTATGTCACTGATGTGAATCAAAAAGAGCGAAGGTCCTAAGACTGAGCCCTGAGGT